GGGAGGGAGGGAGGGAGGGAGGAAGGGAGGGAGGGCGAAGTAATTAAAAAATATGAAACGTATACCACCACTTCCCAAAACTAAAAAATCCCTTCAACCAAGCCCAAACTAAAACCAAAAATATTCAAGCAATAAGGACAAATGGAAAAAAATTTCAGTAGTAATATTTTTCCCTGTGTTGACTTTCACCATCTCCTTTCTCTTCTGAAACAAGTCTCACTACATTTCTGATAGCATTTTTTTTTTTGCTGCATTATTTTTACAACAGACTGTTGTGTTTACCTACAGAATCTCTGCAGCAAGAAGGGAGATGCTGGCTCTGAAGTCACATCCAAGTGACTCTAATTGCTTGAGAAGCAGACTTACCATCAGGAGCCAGAGTAGGAGCAGGAGTAGCTGGAGCAGGAGGTGTAACACTTGCTTGGGGTGAAACACGAGGTTGAAAAATATCTGTTCAGTAAAAGTAAGTTTAAAAAAGGAAGGAAATACACCAAATCTCTGCAGAAGCTACAAAATCTGTGCAGCAAGAAGGGAGATGCTGGTTATAAACTCACACATCCAAATGACTCTAATTCCTTGAAAAGCAGACTCACCATCAGGAATCAGGGTAGGAGCAGGAGTAACAGGAGCAGGAGGTGTAACACTTGCTTGAGGTGAAACACGAGGTTGAAAAATATCTGTTCAGTAAAAATAAGTCTTAAAAAGCAAGGAAATGCACCTAATAGAAATGGTTATTGTTTGCAAGGATAGGCTTTACAAAATGTTTATGATTGATAACAGAATGGGAAAATAAAAAGCATTTGCTTTAAAAAAATATAAATAAAAGAAAGCAACTAAAAGACGTACTAAACAAAAAAAAACCAAACACCCACCCACTCACCTGAACTACTCCCCAAAACCAAATAATGCCAAGAAACCCAGCATCCAAACCAAAACTAAAATCAAAAATACCACACTAGGAAATAGGGACTAATAGAAAAAAACAGCAAAAATAATTTTAATCCATGTGTTAGCTTTCAGCATCCCCTTTCTTCTCTGAAAAAAAGTCTCAGAAATTTCTGTTACCACCAGTTTTAATGCTCTGTTACGTGTACAAGTAAATCTTGCTGTATTTGCCTTAGAAGTTGTGCAGCATGAAGGGAGATGCTGTCTAGGAACCCACATCTGAGTGACTATTATTGGTTGAAAACCAGACTTACCATCAGGAGGAGAAGCAGGAGTAGGAGGTGTAACGGCTGCTTGGGGTGCAACGCTAACCAGAAAAATATCTGTTCAGAGACAGTAAGTTTACTTCAGAGAAGGAAAATTTTAAAAAGCAAGGAAATGCACAGAACTGAAATGGTTACGTTTGCAAGGAATAATGATTATAAAAACATTAATGGCTTATAACCTAGAGAAAGGAAGAAGTCTTTGGGGGAAAAAAAAAAAAGAGTATAAAATAGGAAAAAAATTAAAAGCAGTATTAAAAAAGTCAAAAACCAAACACACACCCAATACTGCTGCTCTGCAAAACCAAAAAATCCAAGCAACCAAACAACCAAACCCAAACAGAAACTAATAAAATACCCAGGAAAATAGGGATCAATAGAAAAAAAATTATGGTAGCAATTTTAATCCCTGTATTAGCTTTCACCACCCTCTTTCTCTTCTGAAAAATGTCTCAGAATATTTCTGTTAGCATGAGTTTTAATGCTCTGTTATGTTTCCAATTAAATATTGCTGTATTTGCCTACAGAAGCTGTGCAGCATGAAGGGAGATGCTATCTCAGAACTCACATCCAAGTGACTTTAATTGCTTGAGAAGCAGACTCACCATCGCTTTCAGAACCATGAGGTGCAGCAGCTCCTTTGGGCACAAAGCGAGGCCCAACAGATTCTGTTCAGGGAAAGCAAATTTTCTTCAGAGAAAGTAAAATTTAAAAATGCAAGGAAATACACAGAACTGAAAGGGTTGTGTTTGCAAGGGAAGGTTATTACAAAAATGTTAATGATTTATAACAGAAAAGAAAGGAAAAATAGAACGAAGGAGGGAAGGAGGTAGGGAAGGCAGGAAGGCAGGAGCCAAGGAAGGGAATTAAACATAATAATATAAAAAAAAATCAAAACACAGATAGCCACCACTCCCCAAAACCAAAAACATCCAACCAACCAAGCAACCAAATCCAAACTAAAACTAAAACTGAAGTATATCCAAGCAACTAAGGACCAATAGAAAAAAAAAAAAAACAACAAATGAGTATCCATTTTAATCCCTGTGTTAGCTTTTACCATCCCCATTCTGTTCTGAAAAAAGTCTCAGAGTGGCACTGTTAACACTAGTTTTATTGCTCCATTAGGTTTACATTTAAGTGTTGTTGTATTTGCCTACAAAATCTGTGCAGCATGAAGGGAAATGCTGGGTTTAACTCATATCCAAGTGACTCTAATTGCTTGAAAGACTTACCATCACTGTGACGAGCATGAGCGGGAGGTGTTTTGGCTAGATGGTGTCCAATACGACGCCAAAAAGATTCTATGCAGAGAAAGTAATTTTAAAATTAAGAAGTTTTTAAATTTTAAAGAATTAGGAAATTCACAGCACTGAAATGGTTGTGGTTGCAAGGAAAGAACATTAGAAAAATTTTATTGATTTATAACAGAAAGGAAGGACAAAAACCTTTGGTAAAATGAAACAAAGAAGAAATTTAAATCAGTAATAAGAGCAGAACTCCCTAAAACCTAAACAATAAAGCAAACACACACCCAACCAACACCACCACTCTCCCAAAACAAAAAAATCCAACCTACCAAGCAACCAAACCCAAACTAAATACCCAAAGAAATAAGGAGAGAAAAAAAAAAATACAGTAGTAATTTTAATCCCTGTGTTAGCTTTCACCATCCCCATTCTCTTCTGAGAAACGTCTCACAACGCTTCTCTTAGCACCTGGTTTCCTGTTTCATAATGTTTGCAATTAAGTATTGTTGTATTTGCCTACAGAAACTGTTCAGCATAAAGGGAGATGTTGACTCTGAACCCACATTTGAGTGGCTCTAATTGCTTGAAAGGCAAAATTACCATCATGAGCATGAGCAGGAGCAAGAGGTAGATGAGCTGTTTGTGGTAAAACAGGAAGCCAAAAAGATTCTGTTCAGAGAAAGTAAAATTACTTCAGAGAAAGCAAATTTTAAAAATCATGGAAATACACAGACCTGAAATAGTTATGGTTGCAAGAAATGGCTATTTCAAAATAAATGTTAGCAGTAGTTTTATAGCTCCATTAGGGTTACATTTAAGTGTTGTACTTGTCTGCAGAAGCTCTGCAGCATGATGGGAGGTGCTAGGTAGGAACCCACATCCAAGTGACTAATTGCTTGGAAAGAGACTTACCATCAGGAGCAGGAGCAGGATGTGTACCGTCTGCTTCGGGTTCAATGTGACGCCGAAAAGAGTCTATTCAGAGAAAGTAAATTTACCGCAGTGTCTTAGGTTATAATGTAAGACATAACAAAAAATATGTATTCTATTACCGTCTTGGTAAGCTGTAAGATAGATGTAAGATAGATGGGGCATTTTCTTTATTGTCCTCATGACTCATCCCTGATAACTTCCTCCACAGGTCTATCTCCGCTAATGGGCCATTAAGGCCTCACTGCATGACTCATAAAATTACATCATCCCATTGTGAGATGCTCTGCCCAAGGGGGAGAGCCAAGCATCCTACCTGGATATAATCTGAGGTTTGGAACACCAGAGCAGCCTTGCCAACTGCTTTCCCAAAGGACAAGAGCTACATAACCACCACTGGACCTTCAGGGGAAAAGCAGACCCTTTGTGATAGATTGGCATTTAATGAAAAAAAGGTAGGAAACACCTGAGGAAGTTAACACTGATGGAGGCTGATGGGAGTTTTTTCTCCTGGCCAATAACTGGCCATTTTTGAAAATTGACAGTAGTTCTGATCCTTGAAAAGTGAGATCAACCTGTGAACACCACCCTTTAAAACCTAAGCCCAGGAATTTCACTCTCTCTTTGGTTTCTGGTTTTGGAAAAGGTAACAGAACTCCAGCTGGCTCCCCTCCTCTCCCCAGGCCATGCGGCCTGGGTGCGGGGCTGGGCTGGGGCTGCTGCGGTTCCCAGGTGGGGGATGGAGCCTGTAGAGTTTCCCTCCCAGGCCGCGACTGGGCTCT